GTGCAGTATGTTGGGCTTGTAGGCCCTGTACGTATATTTTGTTGGTTTGTCAGTTGTAGTAGTTATGACGGCCTTGGCGGCCCAGCTTTATGTTGACATTTAGTCAGTGTTAGTCTCTATCCAATTTTATATTTTGCATCACACATTGGTTTGTAATGTGGCCCATGGCCAAAGTATGAGATTAAATGTTCAGAGTCTCTTAGTTACAAGAGGTACACAAGGAAAGGTGAGGCACTAGGTGCCGGTCTCGCCCCCAGGCTCGAGGCGTGAAAGACCCGGCCAGTTATTTTGAGAATTATAACCCCGTTCCCCTATTTATTACTTATTTCATGCTCATTTTTTGTTATGTGACTTGCCGGGGTAGTCGGTTTAGTTCCGGGGATGTTTCGGAATGAGTTGGGACACTTAGTCTCAAGGTTGGAAGCCTAAGTTGAAAGAGTTGACCGGATGTTGACTTATTTGTTAATAGAGTTTTGATGATTCCGATAGCTCCGTAGGGTGATTTTAGACTTAGGAGTGTGTCCAGATATTGATTTGGAGGTCCATAGAGGATTTTGGCTTGAATTGGCGAAAGTTGGAAAAATAAAAGTTTGGAGAGTTGAGAAGTTTGACTGAAAGTTGAATTTGTGGTTACCGGGCTCATATTTTGGTTCCGGAAGTTGGAATAGGTATGTTCTGTCATTTAAGGATTGTGTGCAAAATTTGAGGTCAATCGGAGTTGATTTGATAGGTTTTGGCATCGATTGTGGAAGTTGGAAATTCATTAGTCTCAACATGCTTGAATTGGGGTGCGATTCATGTTTTTGATATGGTTTGATGTTATTTGAGGCCTCGACTAAGTTCGTATCGTATTCTGGGACTTGTTTGTATATATGGTTGAGGTCCCAGGACCCTTGGGTGGATTTCGGATTGTTAACGGATCAATAATAGGACTTGAAGCATTGCTGAAATTGGGGGCCTTCTGGTGTGATTGCACCTGCGAGGGGATTGGTCGCAGGTGTGGCTGGTGATGAGCAGGTGCGAAGGTGAGCTGAGGGCTGCTAGGTCGCAAGTGCGAAAAGGTGGTCCGCAGAAGCGGAGTGGCTCTTGCAGAAATGAGGTCACATAAATGAAAAATGGGGGAGGCTGAGGTGGTCAGGTTTTTCCACAGAAGCGGACGTTTGGGCAGAGAAGCGCTTCCACATATTCGAACTTGGGGGCGCAGGTGCGAATTTTTCACCGCAGATGTGGATTTTTGGCCTGCAAGTGCGAAAGGCTTGGGCAGAATATATTTCGAAGGGTTTTCGAGATTTTCTCATTTTTGGACATTGCAAGCTCGGTTGGAGGTGATTTTTGAGAGGGATTTCATGGGATTTCTAGAGGTAAGGCACTTTTGGTTGTTTTTATCCACTAATATTGAATACCCATTGAATTTTCCACCTAGTTTATGTATTCTTAAGGTGGAATTTAGGGAATTTTGGGCTAGGGATTGTAGAGTAAGATTTGCGGATTTGAGTGGCGATTTGGTGTCATATTTGAGTAATTTTGGTATAGTTGGACTCATGGTTGAATGAGTGTTCGGATTTTGTTAATTTTGTTGGATTCCGAGATGTGAGCCTGTGGTTGACTTTTTGAATTTTGTTAAAGAACTTAGCTTATTCATATGGAATTGATTCCTATAGCTTGTGTTGATTGTATTGAGTTGTTTGTGGCTAGATTCGAGTCGTTCAAAGGCCGATTCGCGAGGCAGGGTCTTGTTGGAGTAGAGATTTGCATGGTTTGAGGTAAATAACACTTCTAAATTTGGTTTTGAGGGTATGAAACCCTGAATTACGTGCTATGTGGTTAGTGTTGAGTTGACGCACATGCTAGGTGACGGGCGTGTGGGCGCGCACCATAAAAGTTGTGACTTGGTCGATTCCGTGGAACTGTATAGTCATCCAATCTTGTTATTATTCACGTATTCTCCATGTGTTAGAGAAACCGAGCTGTGATTCATATTAGAAATAGGCTATATGTTGGTATTGTTGGGACCTACAAAGGTCATTGTGCTGTTGAATTACTTGCCTAATTCGCAATTATGTAGTCAGTCACATCTATCACTTGCATATCATATCTTTATCTCTGATGCCATTTATTGATACATCATATTATCATTGTTTGGGCTAATTATCATGAGATTTGTGAGCCTGAGAGACTGGACAGATTGATGACTGAGTGAAGCCGAGGGCCTGATTATGAGTGATGTTTATGAGATCGGGTTGCACGCCGCAGCATGCTCTATTGATTCATGCCAAGATTGACTTATTTTAGCTCTTGGACAGGATCCGTCCCTCCGGAGTTGACATGCTAGCAGTGAAAGCAGGTACCTATTGAGTGCGAGTGCCGAGCGATTAGGAGGATTGAGTGACTGGGAGGACGGAGGACTGAGTGATTGAGCGTGCCGAGTGAGATTGAATACTCTGAGAGTACTTTATCACTGTGTTGCATTACAGTTGGCATGCATAATTTACATGTAGATATAGTGATGTATGATTCCTCATGTCAATCAGACTTGACATATTTTATCCTTGTTGAACTTATACTGTTAAACTTGAAAGCATGTCTACCTTTCTGCACTATTTAATCTGTATTTGGATTGTACTTGTCTGAACTCGTCAGTGCTTTCAGCCCAAGGTTAGTCTTGTTACTTATTGAGAAGATTGGGTCGGTTGTACTCATACTACACTCTGCACTTCGTGTGCAGATCCAAGTACTTCTGGATACGGCGACTGCTAGCTTTGGAGCTTTATCTGTTGGATACTATCGAGGTAGTTGCCTTGGCATCCGCAGATATTGACTCTTCTTCTTTTCAGTTATTTGTACTGTTCTATCTTCCTAGATAGTGTTTTAGCAATCAGACTATGTTGTCATTTAGATGCTCATGTACTCAATGACACCCAGATTTTAGAAGATTTTGTATTGAGTCGCGGTATTTTCTTAACAGTTAATTATGAGATTTCCACTATTTAAGCTTATTTCAATTAAAGATGTGTGGTTATTTGTAAGGTGTCGGCTTGCCTAGTATTGCAATAGGCACCATCACGACAGTGTTGGGTCATAACATAAGTGGCCTAAGGCGAACCTAGCAAAAATTAGCATGAAGAAGTTTTGGATCATCGTTGTAATATCTATTATCTTGATTTTTGGAAACTCATTGGAGGTGGAGTAAATCACCACAAAGGCGTAAGAACTCATTGGAGGCGAACAACTTTCTTTATTGGCATGATTTGATGTAAGCGTCTCTTTCTGAAATAATTTTTGTGTTGTAAGATTAGTTTGTTCTAAGTCCTTCTCAATAACGTTGTTTCTGTTCTCATACATTCTTACTAGTAAGATTTCTATCAAGTTTGAAGTGTTTTCGGATAATTTCCCGAAGTCGGAAAAATATGCTTCATCCTGAAGCAACAAAAGAAAAAGACATTCAAACCAATAATATAGGCAAAGTCACGCTACATTGTTAAACTCGCATATATCAAACTTAACCAAAATAATGTCGCAAAATCAAAACAAACATAGAAAAAATATCAAATAAATAAGGGTTCCCCATTACATGTAAAATCAAAACTCTCATCGTAATAAAAATCAGAAATAAACCTACACCTTAAAAAAGTAAAATAAAAGACTTGCAAATAGAAAAAATAACTTCAAAGTATGAACTGAGACGAAAGGAGCAAAAATGGTAACAAAAGTTCAACCATATTGTACAACATAAATTAAAATCAAAAAAGCTAAAAAAATTGCAAAAAATCAAAGTGAAACAGTGGCAAAATGAAAGACAACATTACCTGAAAAGAAGAAAAAAAAAAGCTCAAAAAATAGGGGAAGAGGCAGCAATGGCAAACAATTGTGTTGAGTTGAGCGTATAGAAGATGTGAGAACGAGAGAGAAAGTAAAAGAAAAAACAAAAACTAAATAACGATTATTAAATTTAATGTAGGCAAATTGGTGAAAATTTATCAAAATTTTCATGTGACACCCAGTTTTGCTGTCACACATCAAATTTATACCAACTTTTAAAAATAAATTTAACGAAAACCCAATTTTTAGCTAACATCAAACACATACACATTTTTCTTTTTCTTTACTGTTATTTCTTCTTCTGTGTGCTTAAAGTTTCTTCTTCTTTTTCTTAGTCGCAAAATGGGTTTGTTAAATTTGTTGTTGTTTTGACAATTTAATGATTGAGATTTGTTTTTTATGATATTTGAAAGTTATGTTTCAAATTTGAGCTCATTTGGAGTAGATTTGGACATTAAATAGTGTATTGGATTGTTGACATTCAAATAATAAGTTTATGATTCAAAACCTAAGATTCAAAACCTGAAATTGCACTCAATAGATTGAACTACTTAAGATTCGAATGTCTAAAGTTGCATTGAAGAGATTGAACTACTTCAGATTCGAATTTCTGAAGTTGCATTTGAAAGATAGAACTTCAAATTTTATTTATGAAGTTGCATTGAACAGATTGAACTACTTTAGATCCGAGCAGGTACATTTTGCAAAATTTTGTGCAATGCGGGTACTACTTCAATGGTGGCCCCAAAAGGGGGTGTATAGTAAAATGCCCCTAAATATTTACTTTCAGGTTATGTATAATCTGCACCAAAACGGGTAAGGGCTTCAAACCTGGGTCCAATTCGGTAGGTATGTTGGGCCAAGTGATAAGAGTTGTAAATTTTTCTTTTTCTTTTGAAGAATTAACCTGAGTAGCAGCTCACTCAGCGCTTAAGCATAAAATAGCCGGCGGATGTATAATATATGTATAATCCATATATAATATGTGTATAATAAATGTATAATTTATGTATACTATTAGAAAAAGTAAACAGTGAATCTACCTGATGATTTGTGTAAAGAGCCCTTTTCTTTTTCATATTAGGTGAACCACAATTACCTTGTTTCTAATTTCCTATCATTTGAAGTAGTTACAACTCAAATTTTATCTTCACACCCAGAATTATTCTTAGGCAGTCTAATTAGATGTTCAAGCAGTCCACCTCTCACTAGATTGACTTCCTCGCTTGTGAAGGATATTATAGTGCATTTTTTCATGTGAACCCCACCTCGCACTATTACATAGGGATACAAAACGAAGTATAACAAAACCAGGACAAAATTGAGGAAATGTTTGGGACCCTCCTATACTTGACAACTTTTGTTTAGTTCCCCTTGAACTTCATGTGGTCTTTAATACCCCTTGGACATGAAAATCTGATAGTCTTGACCTTCCTAGATGCTAATCCAGCAAATAGCGTGACTACACTCTCTTTTAGGTGCCTGGGAGGGAAGAAAAATAAAAAAATTAGTTTTCAAATGGGGTATTTTCAACTATTAACTGCCACATAATCAAATATAACGATTTATTTGTTCCAATTGTATTTCTCATTGTATTGCATATTTTTTTCCAATTGTATTTTTTTTAAATACAATGAATATATGTTTCAACTATATTTTTCTTATCTTTTTTTTTTGGGTCCAAATCTACAAAAGTTTATTTTTATTTTCATGCAATGACTATTTATTTAAATTATGCATTTTTCTTTTTCGAGTCAAATTCGCAAATATTTTGTCGGAATTTTTATTATTAGATAAAAAATTATTTAGCCAATATATGGAGTGCCAACAATGTAATTTTTAAAAATACTATGATAATATGTTCTAATTGTGTATTCTTAAAAGCAACTTAATCAAAAAAAATTATAGTGAAAATAATGTTGTTTCAAGTTTTTTTATACAGATTTTGGCACAAAAAATTAATTTAAATAGTTCGTGGACTCAACAAGATGAAAATATATATTTTATTATAAAAAATGCCACACGGACAAAAAAATCCATTTGGCAGCGTGTGTGCCATACTCCCATGGATTGTCAAGCACCAACAACATTACAATTGGTTGGTGTAAATTCAGGCACAGAAGTGGGCTGCAGTTTAAACTAACAGACCACCTATGTTGCTGGACATAATACAACGTAAAGCATACTACAAGTTTCAGTATACGCATGTGTATAGTGCCTATTAATTAAAAATATATACATTGACGTTAAAATAAAATTCAATATTTTATTAAATGATAAAAAAAGTTTTCTCATAGTAATTCTATTAAATATCTTCTGAATATACATGGATGATGAATTTAGTTAAATTAGTCGTACATTATTTTGTAATTATACATATCTTTAATATGATTTAAAATATGTTAAAGTCTATCTCACCTGCATCTCTTTATGAATACATTTTGGCTTCTACAACTTCATCCTTATTTCTTAAAGTTTGTATTTAACCAATTTAATTCTTAATACTACAATTGATTTTATTTTATATTCAGATTTCTTTTATCGCTAATTTTACCTATCTGATAAATTTAGAAAGGAGTAAAATTAGATCATCGTTCTAGTTAGTTAATTCAAATCCGGAAAAAAAAAAGTCAATTCAAATACTTAATTATCTTTGGAGATGTATGGAGATACTTCCTTTCGAGGGCAGGTATAAATGTACAAGGATTGACAATGCATCATGCTCTCACCAAATGTTGGACTGCCAAGGTATGTGATAGACTCGAGCCTATTATGCAAGCATTGCCTTCATGTGTAGTTTGGGAAATATGGAAGAGAAGGAATAGCATGAAATATGGGGAATCTGTCTCAACTAGTCGTGTGATATATCAAGTGTCATCGACCCTGCAAGCACTTGTGAAAGTAAGAAAGCCAGGAATACATAATGTCCCACATAAATGGAATGAGCTCTTAGCAATGATGGAGAATTATACACCTAGATTAAAGGTCACAAAAGTAGTTTGGGAAATACCAGAAGAAGGCTGGATTAAGGTGAACACAGATGGTGCCTCGAGGGGAAATCCTGGCAGAAGTGCAATTGGATTTTGTGTAAGGGATGAATATGGAGACATTGTGTTTGCAGAAGGGAAGGAGATAAATGAGGCAACAAATATTGAAGCAGAAGCTATGGCTATTGTAGAAGCATCAAATTTTGCAGAATGCAGCTCTACCCTCAAGTGTATGTTCAAACTGACTCGATGCTTATGAAGAAGATTATGCAGGGATCGTGGAAGCCACCTTGGTGTATAGCAAAACAGATTGAGGAGATTATGCAGTTGTTGAATGAAGGCAATTATGTAGTATCACATTTATAGAGAAAGAAATAAGTTGGCTGATCACCTTCCCAATTATGCTCTTGATCATGGGAATATAGTCTGTCAAGATTTCTGGCATCTGGACACACAAGGGAGGAGAATAGTGAATGAGGATAAGGTACAATGTCCATATTTGAGGGTAAAGGTTGCCAAAAATTAAAGCTTGAGGAGATTAGAATGGGCAGAAGATAGGAGTTATTGCTAGTTCAGCATATTCAAATCCTAAAGGAGGAGGATATGTTGATCAAAGTTTTCACTAACATCGTTTTCTTTTTTGCAGGAAAAGATACTGTACACATGCCCTACTCTTTAATGAACTCCCAGTTGGTGGTATTAGTACCTAGTACTCATTCCAATGGGAGGGATTTGAAGATAGGCACAAACATACCATCAAGGAAGATCACACTGATGGATACTTTAGCGCACAGACTTTGTGCTTTATGCAGTTGCTATAGGCAATTGAATCTGAAAAGAACAGGTGTGCTAAGGAATGAGAGACACTATCAGTGTGATACCTCAAGGATACAGGAAACAAGATCCATAACAATTCAATTGGATAATCAGTGGAAACCCCTCACACAGGTCATGGATAAAGGTTAGTATGGATTTGTACAACACTGGTGCATAGGGGGTCAATGCAATCATGAGAGTGGAGATACGCTATGTTGGAATGAGAAGACATGGGAATATACAGGGAGTCAGGCAATCAATATCAAAGAAGGCAGCTGGTTTGAGGAAGAAAACTTAGTCATCTACCATGTTCAAATCCTTAGGGAAGAGAACAAGGGGTTGAATTTTTTCACTAACTTAGTTTGCTTTATTGCAGGTGACATTAGTGTGGCTATGCCTTATCCATTAAGGAAACTTCATCTGGTGGTATTAGTACGCAGTACTCATTCCGGTGAAGGGGAATCATGGCTAAGCACAAGCATATCAGCTTACAAAGGAAGGGGCAATTCATATGCCCGTGTTCATGCAGTGATGAGTGACAATATTTGGCTAAACTTTTGGGTAAAAATGACTATGTTGAGGTGCAATACTTCGATGCAATTCTTGAACATGATAATTCAGAAGGTAGACCATGCAAAGGTTCTATTAAGAATCAAAGGGATTACAGATGAAATGACACTAAAAAACAACACGCAAGGCAGAACAGGACAATCGAGATGGCATAGTTGGCATAAGAATCTGGACACACTTGACCCAATCTGTGGGTATATCTCAATGCAACATAGTAGAAGGATAACCAAGGATGGCATTCACACAAGAAATTTAATGAGGTACAGCAACAGAACATGCAAAAAGAAGAGCAACAACGGCAGAAAGACCAAATGTTGGACAGTGATAGTTGACACATACATGAAGGGGTCATTATACTTCTTCTCATGCAACTGTTACTGGATGGACATCATGTATAGTTGGAATGGAGTGGCAACAAGAGGGGCATTACAAGATCAAGGAATGAGACTTCAAATTCACTGTAAAGGGACAGTGCTGCAACTGCAAATGAAAATGGGCTATATTGACATTCAGCAATTCTGGGCAGAAATCAACACTAAACAGGGCTATTTATGCAATGAGCGGAAATATGCTGGAGTTACAATGGAAATGGACTATTTGTGTAAGAAGCGGGCTAATCAAAGCGGTATAAAGCAAGATAAATGGGCTTTTCTGGACAAGAGATGCAATGCGGATCTGGACATATCTATACACGGAATTTATTGGCTAGTTTTTATTTTCATAGAGTATATTAGATCTTATGTGATATCAATTTTGAGCATCTTGTTCAATTTTGACAATAGGCTATATGTAAGGTTCAAAGTTTATGTTTTTCATATTTTAGGACGTCATGGCACATTGTTCTTTCTCTCATTTCATTATATAAATAAAAACTAGCCCTAGGCCCTGCCTAGTGGATTGCTTAAAAAAATTATCTTTTTTAATCACTAATATAAGTAATTTAATTTTTTGAGGATTTAAATTATTAATATTAGCTCATAGACATAAAATAAATATTTAATTATAACTATATGTTCATCCGCAAAAATTCTTTTGTCAAATGATTAAAAAAAATGAACTTTTGCACTTTATGTTTGTCATAGCGTTAGTAAATGACTTTTGTCAATCATTTTTCTCTCTCTTTCTCATGCTATTATTAAATATTTTTGTAATTATTTTTTCTAATTAAGTTTAAAGTCTATATTAATATTTATATCTAAGTTAATTATTGATTGAAGAATAAAATTAATAGCCAATGCACCAATCTCACATAGAATACTCATAGCATTTATAGGTTAATTATTGATTTGTTTACATCATAATTATTCACCTAAAATTTAACATGATTATACAATTTCTTTGAGCTAGAAACGTTCAATTGTATAAAATTCATATGTAAGGTCAAACATATAAATATTTGGGGTTATTTAATTATACTTTAAATTTTAAATCTTATTTAATTTCAAACTCCTAAATATTAGGTAGAAGAATCAAATGACTAAATTCTATTTTAAAAGGGTAAAAAAGACGAACAATATTTCGCTAAGGGTCTTGGTACTTTTAATATAGTATAGAAGATTAAATTGGATTTTTGCAATAATGGAAGATTGTACTTATCAAGTTATCTAGCATGAGAAACCTTGTTCATGTTAGCTGAATATCACTTCTAATTAGGTGGTCGGTTATTTTTTCTAACTTCAACAATTGTCTGTTGGCCACTTCACTGAAATTATTATTAGCCTAATTTTAGTTTGCAAGAGCTGTATAATTAAAAGTATAATAACGCCTCCAAAGTAATACTATAAAAGCAAACCAAAATTTGGATAGTTTTCATAATTGGCAGAAAAACAGTCTATAGATTCCATATCTGCATTTACAAAACCTTAGTTTATAGTGGAAGTTCACCGCTTTCTGCTATGACAACTTTGCTTTTGGGTGTTCCACTTTGTCTTCCTTCAGCTTCAACCTTATAAACCACATCCATTCCAGATAACACCTTTCCAAACACAACATGTCGACCATCCAACCTACAAACAATCACAAGTCAGAAGAAATTTACAGCTTACCAAAGGAGAATATACAGCAACATCAAAAGTACAAAATTATAGGACAAAATATATAAAACATCTGAGTAAACCTTTTCAAAGTCCTCAACTTACCAGCTAGTTGTGACGGTTGTGATGAAGAATTGTGAACCATTGGTGTCAGAACCAGCATTTGCCATCGACAAAAGCCCTGGAAAAAAATTACTTTTTAGATGCATGCAAATTAAGCCAGGACAAATTCAGCACTTCAACATAACCATAGAATGATAATCTTACCAGGTCCAGTGTGCTTGATCTTGAAGTTTTCATCAGCAAACTTCTCCCCGTAAATTGATTCCCCTCCACGTCCATCACCAAGGGTGAAATCACCACCTTGAAGCATGAAGCTGGGGATTATTCTATGGAATGTGCTTCCCTTGTAATGAAGAGGCTTGCCACTCTTTCCAATACCTTTCTCCCCTGTTGATGAAATCCGTTTGAGCAAGAACATGAATTTTAAGTGAACAAACGCTGAAGCCACTTCTTATATATTATGCAAAATAACTTAATAGACAGTATGTAGTTCCATTTTTCGTCATCAGTCAGATACAAAGAGAAACAAATTAATATCAGGAAAAAATGGAAACAAACAATCATTGACAAGCCCGGGCTAGATTCACTGTGGCATCTATAGAGTCTAGATCCAACCGTCTTATCAAGAGCAGGAGAATGAAATATGAAAATGCAGGTAGAAGTACCTGTGCACAATGCTCTGAAATTTTCTGCAATAAAATAAGTAGCTTGTGAAAAAACTGGAATAAAAGTGAAATTTACAATTATTGCTGTATATATGTCACCAATCACCATACCTGCTGTTTTAGGAACTGTTTTACCAAAGAGACCCATAACAATACGACCTGAAAGAAAACATGTACATGATGTATCACTTCAAAGGAAACAATTCAATGATGCGTCAGATTACAATACTATATGGTAAAGGCATCTGACCACAGAAATAAATGACTAAGAAAATTCTGTGACATCAAAAAGTCATTGCCTTAATGTTTTCTCATGTCCTGAATTCTACCTACCAAAGGCTTCTTTGGATTCAAACGTCTAAGAAGGAAATGTTAAGTTTCAGTATATTGCAAACAAGGAATTGCATACACAAACATGATATTCCCAAAAGTCACAAGAATCAAGAATAACTATTTAAACGTTACATTTGTGTCTGATTTGTTACTGAGTCAAACTATAAATGTGGATCAGTATAAAGAAATAAATAAACAAATATTATACTTCCTCTGTCCAAATTTGTTTAGAATTAACTGAACACAAAGTTTAAAGAAAAAAGAAGGATTTCTAGCACTCCCTTGTTGTTAGTTAGTACTAAAAGTCTGTTTTAGAGATCAACAACAACAAACCCAGTATATTCCCACAGGTTTAGAGATGAAAAGAAATAAAATAACGGAGGACTTTTGACACATAAATATCTTATTAAGAGAAAAATGAGAATGTATACATCAAGGGTTTTCTAATTATAGAAAGGTACCAATCTTTTTTGGACGAACGAAAAAGCGTGCCAATTGATTAGGATACAAAGAATAATTTTTTATCCTCCTCCCTTCATCTAAGAGAAGACTCATTTTTTTAATTAATCAATATTCGAATGGACCGTGAAACATACGAGAGGAAGGGGAGGAAAGAATAAGGAAACTTTGAATCATCAACAAGGTCAAGTTTTAATTACTAAAGACATGTAGATGAATTTCATATAACACAGAACAACATTGTACATGCCCGAAGGGTCAAACATGTCTCCCGAGAAAGCTGAAAGAAATATCTGGATTGGGCATGACCAAATACACAACAACAAAGTTTAGAAGTCTACTCACAAGAGGGTGGATGATATGCCTAAATGTGGCTTTGGGATACCCCATTTTGTAACTTAAGTAGGAAAGGAAGATCAAAACCGCAATGCTTAATGTTTTGGTAGAAGAAGGAAAGATACAAATATTTAAATACTATGCTACACGAATAAAAAACCATCCAAAATAAATTAGTTTTCACTAAGAAGATCCACAGACGGGATATAGTAGAGGTAAAGAAACCATCCCCTGCCCCGAGAAATAAAAATAAAAGAAGAAAGGAAGGAAGACTACAGGGCATGTGTTTCAGGATACATAACGACCTATAATGTGACGCTAGTGTAACAAATCATTGTGGTCCAGCCCTTCCCCGAACCCCGCGCATAGCGGGAGCTTAGTGCACTGGGCTGCCCATTTTTTTTAGTGTAACAAATCATTGACAAGTTAATATTGGTATCCCCATCATATGAGCACAGAAGCTAAAATGAATCAATACAAGGGTAAGAGCGCACCTGCAGGTTTACCATCAATCTCAACATCAAAGAAAACCTTGTGAGTTATTTCTTTTAGACTTTCCTGGGACTTTTTGCCCTGCAAAGCATTAAATTTCGAGTTAACTATAATAGTAATAATCTTGTCTTGTCACATAGAAAAGAGAAAATGAGCTTAGATATGCTTCTACAGAGACCAGCGATTTCTGAGAAAACTTGAGAAGCATTGAATGTTTTGTGATGTTGCAAAAGTATAATATAATTTAGCACTATATTCAAGATTGTAGATTAAGCTAGCCCACATCCCTACCAAATAGTTGCAGGTAGAAGCACAACAATTAGCTAAGTCAAGCTGCCTTTCCTTTTTCCTTTTTAATAAGTCATTATTTTTATTATTCACATTCTCTCTTTTGTTACTTTCTTAATAAGTAAATTCTAGTATTTGCTTAATACCACCAAGGAAGTGCTGAAAGCTCAGTGCAAACATCAATGTATGCCACATTGAACCTCAGAACTCATAGTAATTATAGCAAAACATAATTGTAAAAACGGGAATTACAGCAATTATTAGAAACAGATAATATTGGATCTAAAGTTCCACATACAATGAAATTAACAATGTGAATTAGCTACATATCAATTAAGTAGTCTATCTCATGCCAACACAATCTCCGCCATGAAGATGCAAAAATATTACGATCCAAAAGCACAAACAGCTCTCAACAAACAGATCTGCTGCTATATCAATGTTGTTATTGCAGATCGAGTCTAAAATAAAAGCCAAAGGAAGTTCCTACAACAATTCAATAACTCAAACAACAACAACAAACCCAATGTATTACCACAACTGGAGATTCAATTTAATTACTCAAACATCAAATAAAAATAAAAATAAAAAAATATAAAATTGGTGAAAACATGGACACAAGATTATCAACAGGTAAAAAGACCTGAGCAAGCGTTAGAGTTCCGAAAATGACTAAACTGCAGAGCAACAAAACAAATGAATTCTTTGCCATCTTTGTTCGCATCCACTGTTAGAGAATCACTGTCTACGTTGGAGTTAGAATGTTAGGCTAGGTTACTCAGAATCTTAGAATGACATTTAAGGGTAGAGATATATTAGAAAAAAGATAAATTCAAGGAGATCTATGAGGTCAAAAATACCCCTTTACTATTTGAAAAGGATCATTTATACCCTCGGTTATAGTATTCATCCATCATTACCCCCAACGTTATAGAACTGGATCAAAAATACCCCTCCGCCGTTAGTACCCTCCATCATGGCCAATACCATTCCACGTGGCTTGATATTTCGCTGAGGTGGATGCCATGTGGCATACCACTTCATCACCCCGCCTTGTGCTACCTCTAGTTAACGATAAGCACATAGGTACTTTGTAAACTAAACATATGATATAACGCTGAACGGTGAACAGCGGCCGTTGATGCTGGTGGCAGATGAAAGGGATCTCACATGGGTTTCTTCTTATTTATGGAATCACAATTAAGAGAGGTGTGAGTTGTGTGCACAAGGTTATTCTTCACTGCTATCTATACAAAAAAAGATTAACGTGATTCCAACTGATTTTTACGAGAATTGTGTGATTGTTCTTCATCTCGAATCTGGATGTACAAGCTTTCTCTCTTAGGACAGTGAATTTTTAATCCATGTAGGTATTTATTTTCTCCTATTCTTGTATTGGTAACTATTTAAAGGAGATAGAATTAAGTAATTTGAGCCATTCATGAACGAATTTTACTTTGGAAGGGATTATGCTATGATTATTTACAATATTCTATAAATGGGTGTGTTAGAATGAAGTTGTTGATGTAGTCATGAGTTACACAGTACACATTGGTGATAGATTGGTAGATTAAAACTGATGTAGTGAATTGTTGTGATGCTCATAGGACTTCGCCATGTTTATATGTTCGAAATTTTGAAAGTGACTCCCAACTGTTTGTCAAAATGTCCAAGCCAATTAATGTTGATATGTTGATGGTGATGGGTTTGTGGAGTAAAACGAAAGGAAGGGCGGTTGTCTGGTTGATGAAGATTGTGGTGGTGGTGGTTAGGTGAATGTGGAGGTGGTTTTGGAGGAAGAATTGGGGGAGGGGGTAAAATGGGGTGGGCTAGTGAGGTGGTATGCTATGCGTTGTCCACCTCAGCTGAATGTCAGGCCACATGGGATGTTGTTAGCCATAGTGGAGGCCCAAACGGAAGAGGGGTATTTTTGTACAAGTTCTATAACGCCAGGGGTAGTAGTGAACGAATAGTATAACAGAGCCTATAAATGATCCTTTTCGCATAGTAAAAAGCTATTTTTGGCCCTTTTCCGATGATATTGCCTGTGTTTAAGAAGGCAGAGGCGAGGCCCCTACGAATCTTAAATTTTTTAATTCATAAATTAATAATATAGCATTAAAAGTTCAAGAAAATTTAAAAAATTTAAAGAAACTCAAATAAAATATCTAGCATGTTTACAAGAATAAATAATGCGATATTCTTAAAGTTACTATGAAATATAAATCAACTATAACATCTTAACTTTCAACAATTGAACATCATAATTTCTTAAAAAAATATTAAAAAATTGCATTTTTTACCTCCCTAAAAGTAAATACTCGTAAATTTTATTAATAATGCAATTTAAAATGTTACTCCTTCACAAGTATGTAAAACTACATTTAAATAGCAAAATAATAAATTTATGATAATTTTGAGAGATATAGAACTAAGACATTAAGATCTAGCAAGTATAGATATAAATTTTGGTTATCTATTTTCAGAAGAAATACTCAAATGATATTCACCCTCACAATGTTCTCAATTAGTAAATATACAATACTATGGTTCGTTATTTGAGTTATTCACAAATTTTATATTCCTATAGATGAAAAAAACTTTAATCATTCATTTATTAAAAAATTGACATGATTTGTGCAGGAACTGTTAGGCAAACCCCGAGCATTAGGCATGTTTAGGATGCACTATCAAGCGCTAGGGAGCGTAAGACTGATATAACTAAGCCTCACACATGAGTCTCGAGGCATTTTGATAGTGTCCCGTCCTGGAGCAAGCCCCGAAGCGATTCCCGAAACAAAACTTTTAAAAATACAGATATTATCCCATGAAAGAACGCCATGTTGTATGGCGGCGTTTTTGACAGAGGTCACTCGCCGGTACTAGGTCCCGATTTATAGATTCCTATAGAGAGAAGAAGATGTGGTGTGACTGATTATTCTTAAGGGAGACACACAACTAAAGTAGGACTTAGGGTTACTAAACCTTTCAACACTACTAGCCACGTTGGCTGATCTCAGCATCTCTCAAGGCCATCTATAGCAATCTCTCTTAGCGTTTCTAGAGTTCTAGGAGGGTTAATTAAGTAATTTGTATACATAGTCGGTCAGCAAGTCATGTGTAGTTAGTTGGACAAATTAGATATTTTTACATTTTGACTTACACTTGTATATAAGAAATACAGCTTCATTCATACAAAATAATGAAAATTATTGATGTTATGAACCTTTCATTCCTATCAAAGTTAACATGGTATCAAAGTTGGTGTGCTCGATCTACCTAAAGATTTTCAAGATTCTTCTGTGTGTTCTTCTCGATTGTGGATCATCTGTTGATTTCTCTTCGATCGCGATGATCTATTGTTTGCATTGACTACATTTCTTTTTTGAGATTTTTTTGCAGAATTTCTACTTAGCTTTCTAGTCAATTCTGAATTATTTTTTGTTCTTTGATTTCCTCAGCTATGGATGAAATCAATCTTTTTGGTGAAACTCAGATTGTTGTGGAGAGTTCTCATCCATTATACTTAGCTTCTTCTAATAACCCTAGCATGAATTTGGTGTTCTCGCCATTTGATGGATCTGGATATGCAGATTGGAGAACTTCAATGTTAATCTCACCATCAGCTAAGACTAAATTGGGATTTATCAATGAAAAACTCTCAAAGCCTAGAGATGACTCTCCTCACCTGGATCTTTGGATTAGGTGTAATCATATGGTGATGGCTTGGCTGTTGAACTGTGTTACGAAGGAAATCGGGTCCATGTGCTTCATTCAAAGTCTGTAGGGGATGTATGGAAACAACTTGAGAACATGTATGGTCAGTCGGATGTTGCACAATTCTTTGTCTTGCAGAAGAAACTGATGGAAACCGTTCAGGAAACAAACAATATTGCCATATACTTTAATAGGATGAAGGCAGTATGGGATGAGATAGAAGATAGGCAGAAACTTATTCAATTCCTAATGGGCCTCAATGAGTCTTACACTACCTGTCGAGGAAACATTCTGATGATGAAACCTGCACCAAATATTTACAAAGTTTATGACCTTCTTCTTCGGGAAGATTTCAGATTGAATTGGAATGCTTAGTTCCTATTTTGGAAGCTTAAGTTGAAAGTGTTGACCAAATTTAACTTTTATGTATTTTACCTCGGATCGGAGTTTTGATAGTTTCCTTAGGTGCGGATGGTGATTTTTGGACTTAGGCGTATGTCCGGATTTGGATTTGGAGGTTCCTAGGTTGATTTGGCTCTAATTGGCGAAAGTTGGAAATTTGAAGGTTTATAAGTTTATAGGTTTGATCCAAAGTTGACTTTGTGGTTATCGATGTCCGTTTGAGATTTTGAGCCTTCGAATAGGTTCGTATGGTGATTTATGACTTGTGTGTAAAATTTGGGGTCATTCTGAGTTGTTTAGACATATTCGACGTTAGTTTAGAATTCAAAAATTTGGATTAGTTGATTAAGCTTGAGCTGAGGTGCGATATGTGATTTTAATGTTATTTTGTGTAATTTGAGGCCTCGAGTAGGTCTGTGTTATATTTTGGGACTTATTGGTATGATTGGATGAGGTCGTGAGGGGCTCAGGAGTGTCTCGAATGAATTCCAGATCTTTTTGAATTTGTTTGGATCTGCTGAATTGTTGATGTTTGGTGTGTTTCGCTATCACGGAGCAGATCTAGCTATCGCGAAGGCTATTTGGGGAAGTGCCTTTTGTTTCTCTTCGTGTTCGTGATAGGAGTCTCGCATTCGCGGAGCTTGGTGGGCAGCGGCCTTTGCGTTTGTGACCTGGGCGTCGTGTTCGCGTAGAGGGAAGGCCGGATGGGGTTCACAAGCTTTTGGCCTTCGCGTTCGCGGGTGGGCTACCGCGTGCGCGTAGGCTAGTGGAGGTTATGCATCACGTTCGCAGGTGCTAGACCGCATTCGCTAAGGGTAATTTTGGGCCAATGCTGGGTTGTGCTTCACGAACGCGAGGCTTGGGCCGCGTTCACGAAGGGTGTCACTGGATAGATGTTGATACTCAATTTTGCCCTCATATCACTTAGCTAGTATATTTTATAATGTATTTTTATATATTTTAAATAATATTTATAGGATATTTCCTTGCACTACTATTCCATGACATGCCTTAATTATCAATCTATCATCTTCATAATACTTTTTATCAAAATATTATCATGGAAGTTTTATATAAATAATTTTTAGTCATATTTTAAGCATTTTTTAATCAATTCTAGCATTTTTAATTGATAAATATTTATTTATTATTCCCACAAAATTATTTTTGAGTGATTAGTTGTCCAAACTAGTTATTTATATTTTATGCATATTTTATAATATTTTACATTATTCATACAAATGCATTTGTATTTTTTTACCACTTACATATTATTTGCAATAGTAGACTATATTCTGCTATAATCGTATTTATGATGCTATTTAGGTCAAAATGGTAATTTTATATTTTTACAATTATCTTCTATTATTTTAAAGGTGTTAATTTTGGAAATAACATTTTTCATCATTTTACAGCCATTTAAAAAATATTATTTCAATGAATATCCATGTATTTTAAAATATGGCGAAGTTGGCGGTCACGGAGGCTAAGATTGCAGCGTTTGATCGTCTATACGAGGAACTGGGGAACAAAGGCGGGGGAAAAGAAGTTATTCCGGCTGGCCAAGGCGAGTGAGAGGAAGACTCGGGATCTGGACCAAGTGAGGTGCATCAAAGACGAGGATGGTAGAGTTTTGATGGGAGAGGCTCAGATTAAGCAGAGATGACATACATACTTTCATAAACTTCAGAA